ATTAGTTTTTTTTTCATTCTTCAGATACTTTTCCTCTCTCTCCTGCCTATTGAGAGAAAGTTCTCCTTTTTTTGCCTTTTTTAGTACATTGAAAAGCGGTAGAATTCATAATGAAATTTTGCACGAGCTTGCGTAGAAGAAACAGGAAAAGGCCAAAACGAGAGGAAAGTAAGAGAACATACTTATATTACTTTTATCATCAACAAATATGCGCGCATCTGTTTTCTTTTTATACATATATATATCTAACGATCTTTTAATTATACTCTTTTATACGGAAATAAATTTTCTTCTGTATATACGTGTATGTTTTACGTGTGCTGTATATATCTTTTTGTTGTTTCCGTGTATGTGCGTGTAATATGTACTTTCATGTCCGTGTTGTATGTCTTTCTGTGTATGTGTGTGTGTTTTTCCTTGTTGTCTATGTGTATGTGTGTTGCGTGACTAAGTATTTCGTGTATTTAAAGATAATGATTTTTAGTGGTATAACTTTTTTTTAATTAAACAATTGCCCGTGTTACTTATCGTTAATGATGATTAACGTGTGTTGGACGTAGACTTTTCGCATTTTTATAGATGTCATTGCGTCCAGATACAAGATTTTTTCACTTTCTGGTCGATTCGCGTTTTGTTAACATTATTTTTCTTTGTTTCTTGATTTATTTTAATACGTCAACACCACTCCGAGTTGCAAGTTTTTCCATTACACAGGTTGCATTCACTTTGATGTCATCATTGTGACGAATTCTAAAGAGACAAAAATTAAAATGCTTATAACTACAACTTTGAATCAAAAGTTTAAACAAAAACTTATATCCAAACTACTAGCACATATAAAACTAAGTTTAAGAGTAATGCAATGTAACTTGGAAAATAATTTATGGTAGGAATATTTTTTTATACAACCTTCATAATTAACTTGGCCATCACCATCAATGTCAGCCTCTCGAATCATTTCATCTACTTCCTCGTCAGTTAGTTTCTCTCCAAGATTTGTCATAACATGTCTGAGTTCCGCCGCAGATATGAAACCATTTCCATCCTTATCAAATACTCTGAAGGCCTCTCTAATTTCCTCCTCGCTGTCAGTGTCCTTCATTTTGCGAGCCATCATGGTTAAGAACTCCGGGAAATCGATTGTGCCATTACCTACAATTCCAAGTATTTTTAATTTCGATTTTTTCTGAAATCAGATTTTCCAATATTTTTAATAACAACATAATAAGATTCCTTTTTCTTACTTTCATTATGCAAACAAATAACGTATTACCTACATTGCATGCAATGAAAAGGTGTATAGAAATTGCATAATGAATGAAAAATAATAGTTTAAAAATACTGTAAAATGAAATTAATGTAAAATACCATCTGCGTCCACTTCATTGATCATATCCTGAAGTTCAGCTTCTGTAGGATTTTGACCTAGCGATCGCATAACTGTACCCAACTCTTTGGTTGTAATGGTACCATCTCCATCTTTGTCAAATAGCGAAAATGCTTCTTTGAATTCTGCGATTTGTTCTTCTGTGAGTTGATCAGCCTTAAAACACAAATGGTTTCTATATAGAGATTATTAGCAATAATGTGTTATTCTATTCCCCACTTAGAAAATACATCAAAGTTTTATATAATTATGTGCACAATATTCGTATTATTAGAAAAATGTTTATCTTTGTGAACATTATATACTATTGAAATCATAGTAAATATATAAAGTAATGAATTTGTGTCTTCAATTATTTTATAAATGAAGGTTAATTTAACTATTCATAAACAGAAAACTTGAAACTGCACATAAACTATAAATTAAGATTTACTGTTAAGTGTAATTGCTCATTTTACAAGTAGATTTCGTATCATCATACATATGTAACTAAAATTCTATAAAAATTAAAGTGTGTGTGTCTGTGGCGTGCTTGTATGCGCGTGCGCGCGTGTATGATAAAATTTAAATAATATAAATAGACTGTTAATTATATTACTATTTGCCCTTTTTAAAGTATAAAATACAAAAATACATAAACTAATATTAGCTTTGAAAAGCTAACGTTTGATATTTTGCATTTTAACAGAAATGAAGGGGTAATATTTATATTATAAACATGGTTTTACAATGTCTAAATGTTCTAGAATGAGACATTTCACTATATAGGTCACCTATATACATTACATATTCCCCTATATATTTTACACAAAAATATCCATTAAGCACTCAAATATGTAAGTTAAAAACGAATGTTGCAGATAAAACAATAACCCAATATTCATGCTTCAGTTGTCTATCGATTAAAGGTAAATACGTATCATAGGAACGAATTTACTTTGTACACGCGTCGCAACGATAAAAATAAAAAAAGTTCGTACTTCAGCGCATAGTAAAGAGTGAGAGGCGAAGAAAACTGATTTACATTTTCATGGCTATACGCAGAACCTCGTATACATATATATATATGTGTAAAAAATAATATTAATCATTTCACGTTGGAGGATATTATATTTTAGGTTATGCGGCAAATATGTCAGCGGTTCGTTCACAATTATTCCATGTGAAAATAACAATTTAACGTATCATGAATAATTAAAATAAAAATATAATTCGATACGAGGCAAAATTTAAATTTGATATTACGTTTTAATTGGCAAATTTAGGAAAGATTATTAATTATTCGTTTAACTTCCTCGAGGTCCGTGAGAATTCATTGGAAACATGGCCAGAAATCAATTTTATTTCAATTTCCATAAAGAAAGTAGCGTTTGCAATAAACTGATCGAAGGTTGGGTGTAAGAACGTATAAGGAATACGGGGAACTGGCGCAATGGTGAGAGACCGCGAAAATCAATAGTGAGGTATACCGTGTAACGGTTGATTGTCGAACGCTACACACAACTACATCACGAGAGAAAGCACCGAACATCCGAGAAAGGAACTACGATGATAAGATATTACGTGGAATCAATTTTTAGTAGTTCATAATAGTCACTTTAGTTCCGAGAAAATTTTATCAGACGATAAATATAAAGCTGAAAGTAGGGCAATGTTTTGTGCTTTCACTATAGCATTGTAACTACACCAACCAAATTTACTACGCATAGGAACAGGTATTAAATCGGATTGTGCACTATACCATTATATTTGTTAAGCTTTACATAAAGCCATCTTTCCATGTAACTACATTACGAACTTCCATGACAGGCGAAATCGTCGAAGACGAATTACAGGAAAAGAGAAAGAGTGCAAGCGTAAATATATTTATAAATATATTTATAAATGTATGTATATAATATTAATATATATATATATTATATATATATATATATATATATATATATCTCCACGCCAAAGAAATCTTTATTCACACACAAATTCGATGCGAGAAATCTGGGTACAAATTGAAAACGGAGCTTGCAGAAGTAGAAATACCGATAGCAAATTATCTCGCGTAAGATTCGATAATCTCGAGATAAGATATCTTGTACAGGCGAAATTTTAATTTCTGAATTAACCAATTTCGGCCGAATAGTTTCAGCATCATTCGATATCGAATGTAACCGTTACGAGTTACATCGGTATATGTAATATACGTGTAACGACGGGGGGACACACACCGTTGGTTCCAGAAACTGTTCTCCGGTGTCTTTCTCTCGGCGAAATCGATCAATCGCGTGGTAATGTTTCCGTAATTTCTCTTACCGACCACCCTCGCCTGGTGACATCTCAGGAATTAAGAAAATAAGTGTGTAGACTGGCTAAAGGAGGAACGGATCGATAGTCGGTCCATCTCCATGTACCGGCCATTACGAATGTAATATCAAAATAGTGCGTAGGTAAAAGCATATTTGGGACGAGGCGACGAACACCGTGCGATTCGAGTGGGAATATTTCAAGCAACCCGGTAAGATAGAATGAAAAAACGATATTTCCGTAAATGCATATCGGAGTCTGTTGCACGTGCACTCGGCGCGTCAATGCGGCAAACCGAAAGCCAAGGCGAGGGCGAGGGCGAGGGCGAGGGGCCGGCCGCCGAGCGACGTCCATTCGCACAGGCATACGCAGGCAAGGCACGCACAAAATAAAGAGAAAATAAAACGAACGAAAGAACGAACGAACGAACGAACGAACGAACGAACGAACGATGTTACCCGTACAGGCAAACATAGGGCAGAGACGTACCAGGAAAAGCAAAAGGTTTCATCGTACTTACCATTTTGGCTTGTTTTTACGTCTCAGTTAAGCACGAAGAATTCAAAATATCGCTTCAACACTGGACACAAAAGGATACTTGTTTCACAATTACCCGGACGAACGTGGAGGGAAAGAAAACTCGTGTGTACGAAAGCGCGGACAGACACGCAATACGACACGGCCGACGAGAAACGTACTCAGGACAGCAATGGAGTCCACCGTTCTCTCTCGGTGTACGAGCCTCTCTGCCGCTTGTCTCGATCAGGTATCACTACGCCGCCCCTAACGGGCTACACGACGGCGCGTCCCGATTGGTCGGCCGGCTAGGCGGGGGTTAAGGGGAGTTCACGCGGCGATGCGCCGCGTCGTTCCCTACGCGGTCGACAGATAGTCCCGTGCGGCTTCCCCTCTGTGAAAACCCTGAAAAAACGACTGGTTTTTAATTGGACAAATGGGAAGAAGTAGGAACGACACGACACCCGATCTACAGAATGCTCGACTCGGACAACCGTGCAAATCCGTTTTACATGCGGGGTGGGTGCGGTCGTGTTTACAGGACAAGTCCGGGCGAACTAACCGGGCCTGTGATTGGCCGACGCGCACCTGCAATGCGTCAGGCAGCCGTGCGGACTGTGCCGCCGCCGGCTACCGGGTCAAAGCCGGGCTTCCCTGCGAGAGATGGCTCGAATGCAATGAGCGCGTTTTTCGGGCGCGTTTAGCCCTACACTTCTCTTTCTCCGTTTCTCTCATTTTCCCTCTCCATTCCTCGTTTCCCTCTCTTTTATTCTATCTTTGCCTCTATCTTTGTCTACCCTTCTCTGTCTTCGCTCGCTACCTTTTCTGTTTCTCTTTTCTACGGTCATCCTCTTTCTCTCTCTCTCTCTCTCTTTCTCTTTCTTTTCCTCTGTCTCTTTCTCTCTCTCTCTCTCTTTCTGTTCGTCCT